CTGTGCATGTCAACCCACTTCTGACTTATTTGGTTGTTCCATGTTTCCTATTTTTGACTTGCTTGTAAGTTACTTGTGACTTACGCATGGGTTACTTGTGACTTACTTGTGGGTTACTTGTGGTTTACTTATGGGTTATTTGTGACATACTTTTGGGTTGCTAGGTACTTACTTGGGCTTACTTGGGACTTACTTGTGAAGTACTAGTGTTTTACTTGGGACTCACTTGGAACTTACTTGTGGAACAGTTGTGTCTTACTATAGGGACTCACTTGAGACTTACTTGGGACTCACTTTCGACTTTATTGGGATTCTTTTGGAACCTTCCTGGGACACACTTATGAGTTACTTGTGGGTTAGTAGTGTGCTTTCATGAGGCTTACTTGTGCTTCTTGTGGCTTACTTGTGACCTAGAAAACAAATCAATCCTTCAAATTCTTGGTCCAAATTCAGCCTTAGTAATCAGCAGGCCATTTGTATAGAACCACTACGATCATTGCAATCAGTACCTTCCAAGTCTTTACTTGACTATCACAATCTACCTGGGAAAAAAGTGTTTTTGCAAGGATCAGTCTGTGGTTCAAATTTGATCCTGTGCTTCCCTACCGCGACATAGGTGACATGGATGCACCTGTTTGTTTTCTTCAAAACAACTTCAATGAATATACAAGTTACTTGGGCATGGCGAGCTACTTTCTTACATGAGCATTTTACTTACACCTCAAACTTGCACCAAAGAAGAACAAATCATAAACCTAAATGCATTGGTTCCATCTCAAAAACTATATTTTCCCAAACATGTGTTAACTATCTTTGTATGTGTTTCAACAAAAAATATACAAAAAAAATCAGCTTCATAAAATGAAGAAAAATTAGGTATAAACCTAAATGGATTTAGGTATGTACCTAAATCAATTTACTAATCTTGACTTTTTGAACTTTTTTTAAACCTAAATTTTTCGATTTACGTAAATTTTGAAAATTAGTAAATTTACTATTTTTGGAGACTCAGGGAAAGGCAACCTTGAAAGCCGCAAAACGTTCGCCTCGCAGGGCCCTAGCCCCACGCACGTGGCCCCACCCACCTGAAGGCGGACGGGCTGCCCACGCCCCACCTCCTGACTGCCTAATGTTGCCTTTGAAGGCGAGTAAATGACAACCTTGAAGGCCGAAAAACGTTCGCCTCGCAGGTTCCTAGCTTCACCCACCTGAAGCACGGACGGGCTGCCCACGGCCCACCTACTGCCTATTACCGGCCCCTTTGACAGGTGTTACATGACAACTCCCATGCACCTGTTCCTGACGGAGAGCCCCTGGTAGAAAGCTAGTAAGGCCCCAAAACCACTTCCAGATCTAGGTTCACAAGAACAACTCCAAAGCCGAGCACCGCAAACCTAAGTCCGAGGCTGCTCTAACGCGCTCCCCCTGCTGCACGCTGGGGT